ATCTCAACTTTGTCTTCTATACAATGATGAAAATTTTATTTCCACAAATAATCCTCTCTATGATATAATATAGCGCTTTAAGAAAACATATCGTATTTGTTCCAATTTAAATTAATTGAAAAATTGATATTGTCATATAGCATTATAAGTTCTGTTGTTATTTTAAGACGATAAAAAAAATAAAGATATTTAATTAACGACAAAATAACGTAAAGATATCATAAAATATTAATTTTATCTATCTGTACGAAGTTCTTATTAAATCTTGTTTTTTTTTCGTTGTTTGTTTCATCAAATTCACAAAATAAATATGTAAACTGCCGCTCTTTTTATGTTTTTATCTTTTTTTAATTCAACTTACTTGCGTAATTTATTTTGGACAAATAGTAACTTCTTTTTATGTGTCTCATTTCTTTCTCTTTCTTTCTCTCTCTCTTTACTTTTCTCTCATACCCCGCTCTGTGAATGTATGAACAAGTAGATGCATTAAGACAATGCGGAAACAGGCGTATCTCTAAACGCTTTTAGCTGGGTCAAAATTTACCTTTGTCGATAGTGCTACTTGCTGCCGGATGGTTTATTTTCATGCAAAGCAAGTGGGATTCTGTTACGCTCTTGCACCGTCGAGTGGAGTAGTACATGTATACAATTGACGATACAAACGTGGTGACCCGGTAATTTATTCTGTGATTTACGATGGCCGAATTCTTTCCTTTATTTTTTATCTGTACAGTAAATTCCTCTATTTTTCATTCACAAAACCATGTTACATAAAAAACTGCTTATTATTATTCATGTTAATAATTGTTATTTTTTTCTAACACAGTGTTTTGTATTATATAATAGCAATTTAAAAAATATCGTGATGGTACATTAAAAAGATTCATAAAGATATTTTTTTTTTAAATAATACATATTTTTATAATATGCATGATTTTTAAAACGGTATATTTTATGGAAAAATTTTTTACGGTAGTTGATGATTTATTACCGATATCTCTAATATATAATATATTTTTTGAGAGAGTTATATTGGACACTATAAATGTAAAAAATTTACTCAATCGCTGATAAAATATTCTATCTATTGTCACTTCTGATAACGTCAAATTGTTTTCATTCAAAAAATTTAGAACGTGTATTTTTTTCTGAAATTTAGCACATTTATTACATGTGTCGACAACAAAAAATATTTATGATTATAAAAGACCTACAATTTATTGCCAATTGTTTCAGTATAACTGCAGCAAAAAAAATGTAAAAAAGGATCAAGCGAGTTTTCGCGTATAAGATTAATATCTGAAATAAATGACATATGTATGACATCGAATATACAGTCATATATATGTGCAGTTGAATGTGATGGATCTTTGAAGCTTGGTCATATGATGGAAATATAGATTATTTGCACTTACTGATAACGCGCAGTCATTCACTGTCGTTGCTCCCGGTGCAATAGAACACAATCGCGGATTACACGCACGTTGTCTGTTTCTACTGTGTCGATCGCGCCGCAGCAAGCGTTGGGTCGTTCTCCTGCTCCTGTTCGTCCAATCGTTAGATAAGATTACGGCAGAGTGGATTGTCCTGCATTCCCTGTCCCACATCTATACGCGAGGCCACACGCATACGACGAATGCACTGGTAATTTATGTTGCCAGCCGCGCTTGGACGAATAATACATCTCTCCGCTCTCGCGCTCCCTCGCTTCTTGTTTTTGAGTCGCGATTATTCACCGCCCGAGATATATCGTTCCAGACATTCTCTGCACACGAAAATACCATTCGAGCAGAGGAGCCGGTTCTTCCGACACGATAAGTCTTCTAGCAGACCTTTTTCCGGCAAATATGTCGCAGAGCGATATTGCGACAACCGAAACGCATTCGGCGCTTTAAAAACGCATGTTATTTCTGGAAGCTCTCCGGAAACTCGTTCTTTATTAGAAATGTTTATCCGCAGCAAGATTGCAAAAAAAAAATGTATTCAATATATTATCAAATAAAAAATTCTTTTCAGACCGCGTCAGCGAGAGACACGCGCTGTGTTAAAAAGAATTAATTGGATTATATTCATTAAGGGAAAAGTAGAGCAAAAATATTGTCGGTGATACGAGTCGAGCAGTTTTGTTTGCACTGGCATACGTTATAAATATTTCTAGCAAATTATAGCCTGTCTCTTTTTGCAATGGAGCAGTTCAGTCCTATTTTGCAATGTTATTTTTACGTCGTAATGCACACACGCACTATTAACGTAAATTAATCCATCTGATTTGTTATTTATATGTCATAACCGCCATCATACTGACGGACGAAATATTTCTAAAGTTTCATCATGATGTATCACCATTTTGCTTCTAGTTTTTGACCTGCTATAACTTATACTCGTCATGATTTATATTTGAAGTAAATAAAAAAAAAATATTGTAACATAAAGTGTTATAAAATAAAAAAATATTAGAGAAAATATATAAAATAAAATGCTACTATATAAAAAATTATATTATAAACTAAATAAATTAATACAATAGTATATACATATAACATTATTTGCAATATATGTATAATATTATCAGTATTGTTTGAATTACAATATTGGATTTTAAAACACGTACAATTTATGCGATTTCAATTACAAAAGATCATTCTAGTTAGCAATGTAAGTATAAAATATATTACAATATAGATATTAATAAGTTATTTAAAATAGGAGACAAAAGGTGGTATTGCATGATATATAATACAATTTATTTGAATTTATATTTCAATTCAAATCACACATACGTTTGGTATGTGTATAAGTTTCACTTCATGAAATATAAAACGTATTTAAATCCTGTTTTTACACACGCACTGTGAATATTTTGCAAATAAATACGTTATAAATTAAATATTTCTATATATAATCCATATTGCTGATAACGTGTGCGGACAATAGTACATGGCACGCCGACAAAACGTATAGTTATCGAATTATCTCCTAGAATTAAAGTTGTCATTGAAAATAACGTCTGACGAAAGTGTATATACATGATGCATCAGTGATCGTTGGTGTTCTCGACGTCAACGGAGCGGAGACTCGCGTGTGTGACGTGCCAGTTCCAATCAACACATACACACACATAAAATAAACGAAAACCAATGCACTTCGCACAATCGCGACAGCAATAAAGTAATTCTGCATTTGTCATTAACCATATAAAAAATAAAAAAATAGAATTTTTTTTATGTAAAAGATACAGTTAAAGAGCAAAAAAAATATTGTAACATAAAGTGTTATAAAATAAAAAAAATCATCGTCGTGTGAATATCGGAAAAGTATTCGTGTGAATCTTAGGGGACTCGGGAGAACGGCGGCGAATCGCTTTTCTCGCTCAGACCGGAAAAGCGAAAATGCCAAACGAAAATCCGTGACAAAGACGTGTGATGCTATACAGCCCTACGTACGACGCCTCCTTTTTGTTGAACGACTATGCAAATATTTTCGAAGACGCAACGGAATAATACGCAAACGGAATCGTTTCAACGGGAGAATCGATTTCACATCTGGATTGGTTACTTTGCGAAGAGACCCGCTGATAATAGATGTTACCGCGTAAACAAATAGTTTTTACAGAACAGAGTTTATCGAAAATACAATTTGTGAAAGGTTGAAATAATTTTATTGAACAAGATTTAATCTTGAATTTATAATACAATGAAATATCGACTTTTTCATAAAACGCATCTGAGACTTTAAGCATGTTTTATTCATCAACATAAAGATTAGATATTATCAAATGGAAAAGTTATTTAACTCGCTGTCAATCTTTAAAAAAGACAAACAAATCTATGAAAATAAGATAAAAGGGTTTTATTAAAGCCGAGTCAATTGTTGTAAATTATCGCTTAGTTCCACATGTGAAAAAAAAAACAATATGCAAGTGACGCTTGTAATAGCCACTATCGTATTATTCTCCGTATTTTCTCGTGATTTTTAATCAGGCTTTGTCTACCCATGTTGCCAAGCTCGTACCTTAGAGAATGCGGCGAAAAAGTAATCGAAGACTGTTTAAAATATGCAGGAAATGTACGTGCGTGAAACGAACTCGACGAGCCACAATTTGCCAACAACGATACTACGAAAAATACGTTCGAAAAAAATATATAAAATGAATTTGTAAAAAAGGGCAAACAGATCAGATATATTCTACGTGACAGATGGATCAACCGGGTAAGCCCCAACAGGGAGTGCCTGACAGTTCCACGACTATAAATCTTGATTTTCCCCTGGGTCGAGTCGACACAATCGATACGAAACGAAGGAAACCAAGCGAGGCTTTCATCGTTACCATTGCATGGTTGTTAATGAGGATTCGCGAGAATTATGACACCAGATAGAGAGTAGCCACAATGAAAATTTGAATATACGTACAATACATTAACATAAATATGTATGTCATATCACATATCATATCATATTATCAACTCGTTAAATATTCCAAAATATATCAAGCTGGCAGCTATTTACCGAAATAAATTTTTCGTGCAATTTATTCATTTAAAATAAAAATTGAAGTTATAAATAATGGGAGTTATAAATTATCATTTTGTTGCAAGTAATAATTATTTTTGTAAAGATTTATATATATTCTTTTTTTGCATTTTAACATGTTTACATTACGATCAATCGACATTATGATATTAACAATCAATCGAGTAATAATTAATTTTTGATACAAAACATTTGCCATTTATATTATATAATTTTACAATAATATAATATAATTTCATAATTTATTTTAAAATTAAAAAAATATTTTCTAGCGGAAAGAGGAATTGATTACTGTACTCAATGCTCATTTTTTTGAAGCATATCTAATATTGTATTCTTTTGCGTCGGGAAAGGAGGAATGTCATATAAAAATATAATCTTTTAATAATAAAATAAATTAGAAATTATACTATATTACAAAATTATATAATATAACCCTCCCATTGGGTACACCTTGACGTTGGTGGGAGGGCTTAGTACCCGGAAGGGATTTATCCTGAAGGGGAAGCTAAGTACCCAAAACACTGCATTGCCACAAGTCGATATCAATAATTAATCAAATAATTTATATATATATGGCAAGCACATTCGATGCATCAAATATTCGGTGCATCCGTTTATCATCGTGCCACGGATGATGCGTCACGTCTTAATTTGGGAGTGCCGCACAAAGTATCGCGCGTCCGTTTGTTATCTTGCCACAAATATTTCGTCGCGTTCTAATTAGTTCGAGTGTGCTATGTAAAGTGTCACTGTTCAAATACGGGAGTGCCGTGCAAAGTATCGCACGTCCATTCTTATTGTGTCGTATAATGAACAATAATAAATTGTAAGAAACTATACTTTCGCGAGTGAATGCAAAGAATCCTGACAACTTGAGAGAAGGAAAAGGCCTAGGAGGCATCAGGCGACGGCGGAACAACTTTAAGGTGTATAATTTATTTTTTATTCATATATTTGTATATTTTTTTTATTAATATTGCATGTCTATACCCGTTTATTTAGTTGTTTATTTGGAAAATAAAGTATTCTTAAATAAAAATTTAAAAAGAAAACTTTTATATATAATATCATAATAGTTCGTTTATAAAAAGAATAGCTTCTTTGGAAATTATTATATAATTATTTCATTAAATATCTGTTTATGATTATATGCATTAATTTTTATATTATTTAAAAATTTATTTTATTTTATTTGATGCATACAATACGAATTATTTGAAATATTAAATATTTTGAGCACTGCTGTAATTTAAATTTTATATTTATATGTTACAGATCAATGTAGCTTCAATGCCGTCAACTCCGCTGTTGCGCATCGATTAGTAAATGATAAAAAAAAGCTTTTAACGTCAAGTATATACAATTCAATATTTGCGCAACAAAAAAACTGTGTCAAACCTATGTTTTTTCAATTAAACATACTAAAAAATCCCACATTTTAAACTACAGCTATTAAAACCTATTTTTTTTTTTTCAAGAATTTTTCTCGGGATATTTAAAAAATGTAATTTTATATATTATGTTAAAGCCATATATTATAAAGACATAAGTATAGTATAATAGTGATAAATTCAGCTGTGTGTGTATGCTTCTTTTCTTGTCAATAGCTACACAATCTCGAAAAAAATGTTTATTCTAAAAAATGCCTACTTTTATAGTAGTGCAGCATTAACGAAGACATTATTGTGTAGTACATGGCACAATTTACGGAACTTTTATCGCGGACGAAAAGAACGTGTAAATGTAGACTTTTATACACCATCCATAACTTGAAACTTAGCACTCGTAAGCTTAGCTATCTCCACTTCTCTCAAAGTAGCACGGTTCATCTATCCGCAGGCGCGAGAGAGAGAAAGAGAGAGACAGAGAGAGAGAGAGAGAGAGAGAGAGAAAGAGAGAATGAGTGAGTGAGCACTCCAAAGACCTAGCTAATCGCGTGCTTTTATATCTCTTGACCAAAAGAGTTCGTCCTTTTACGAGACGCGCAGAAGTAACGTTTAAGTCGCCTCGACGACCAGCGCTCACTCGTCACACACTTTTTTTACGACACAATCTCAGACCAATGAGGTAGACCAGTGACGATAGAATTTTCCAAGGTACTCTCAAGAGAGAGTACGTTTATAGATAACAAAAGTTAATAGAAATTTTTCAAATTTAATTACATAGATATGTCTAAAATTGAATATTAAAATATCACGAAAACATATATACGAGGGTCAAAATCAATTTTTATTATAGAAAAATTATCATATACAGAGTGAGCCACGCAATTGAGATGGGTTCTAGCATCTGTCCCGTAGAACATAGAAAGAAATGGTGGAGGCAAAAGTTGAATAATATAACAATGCCTATTTTTCTATTGACTCATTTTTTCGTAAATGCAACGATACATCAAAAAAGTGCAATTGTATTTTTTTTTTTTTGTAATAGCATTATAAATTTTTTTTTCACATAAATAGATTCTTCTAAACAGTCTGTGTATAAAATTATTAGAGTAAGATGTTCGGAAAAGAAATATTTTACAAGATATTTGAAGTTTCTAAATGAGGCATATGCTTTACTTAAGAAGGTGTTTAAACGTATCACCGTTACGTAACAAATATTTTGTGATCCATTTCTTTATGTTTTTTTAATATATTAATCGAGCAATGCAACAATAAAATATTGTAATTTTGACAAAACCAAAACAGCAAGTTCTATAGCGTTTGAAATAATCTATTAAATGAAAAATAATTTATTACGCGTCGCTCAAATTCCTCGGACGTTGTATATTGCGATTCTTTACGAAGATACTTTTACACTGCTGAATAATTTCTCAGTATCTAATGAACAACTTCGAAACTGCGAGATGCAATCGGTTTTTCCGGATAGACATGCATTTCCGAGCGGAAAAATCGCGATTTGTTATACCGCCTTTTATTTCTCTTTTTGCTAATATTTTTATATCTCGCCGTTTCAATTACTGCAGATCTTTCAAATTGTTTTTCTATTGTTTATCTTAATCTAGAATAGAATTTTTAAGGATACGTTCAAATCGATGATCTTACTGTTATCTCCGCTATCGAGTTTATTTTTCCTTCTGACTACGACATATTTGATTTCTATTGGTTTGCGTTTAATCTCGTAAGAGTTATGAAACTCGACGAACATCGCCACAATCCTCGTAACCTGCGAACAAGGCAATCGATGTCGATCCGATTAAGTCGAATAAACCGCTTTTGTGATGTACTTTGGTTTTAGAGCGATTAGTTAAAAAGTTTAAATATTCTCTTTAGGTTATCTAATAGAAATTATGAAGGATTAATAATATTTATGTCAGCGTTTTTGTCTATAATCATTAAAACTTTCTCTTGTTTAAATCTTAAAAAAAAATAAAGAAATAATTACAAACTATATTTTTATGAAAATATTTAAGCTATAAACAAGAAATACCGGTTTAAATTACGGATAAAAGATAATTAAAAACAATATTCTTGTATATATCAGTTTTCCTGCATTATTATTTTAATAAAAACATATATATTTTATTTTTATTCTTTTGAAAATTATAAAGAAAAATATTGTATAATGATATACATAATTATATTTCACATTAAATATTTTCAAAGATCATCTTTGTCAGAATGAAGATAACGTAGGTACCGTTTAACGGCTCATTTGTATCTCCAATTAACGCGAATAATCTCCCTAATTTGACAGTTCACGTTGTTATTGAATCGATAACACGTACATTCGCACTATTGACCGTGAATGTCACATGTCAAGCATCATCCACACCGACGCGTATATTGCGACCGGTATTCGAGCATCGATATACATCTATAACCGCGCCCAGCCATTATCCGTACCACCTACATCGCCTGGATTTTCGTCTGTTGCCGGTCATTTTTTCCACTCACAGCGTTTAATGATTGCAAACGCGGGAAAACGGGCGTGCGAACCTTTCCGCGGAAATAGCGCGCGAAAGGAATTACGGTCGGCATGCATGACGCGCCTATTTACGATTCATATAAATCGCGTCCGACCGTCCGGAATGGAGGAGAGAGGCGGTTATACACACGCGCGCACGGCGGTCCATTATATCTCGCCTGTAACGGCGTACGTGGTTACCGCGATGTGTCATATATGCCGAGCGGAGGTGGGTTAAAGCGCACGTCATGAATATTTATCCGCAGCTATTGCAAAATAAATGTCGGTACCGGAGAAACTCGCGGCAAAAGAGCAGCAAAAAAGAACGAGGAATCGTATAACCCCGGGGGCAAAGTCTACGTTTTTCCTGAACTCTCCCTTTACGCGTATATTACGTTTATGCCCGCGTGCGCGCGCGAATATCAACGGACAGATTAAAGTTTCATCCGATCCTCTCCCGCCGCGATCGTCGATATGTCGAATCGCGCGAGTTTTCTCCTGAAAGCTCGGATATTTATTTTCGTAGCCCGGAAACGCCGTTGCCTTTGCCCGATTGCTCGACCGAGAATTCAGTCGCGTTCGATTCAGTATGAAAAATTTGGTCGCAATGATAAACCCGCGGATAAAGTTCGCTTGCCTGAGGCTAGGTGGACGAGGATAGGTTGAGAGGGTTTTCATCGAGAGTCACTCTCGAATTGACATTCATCGAGAGATACACTCAGCTCGGGTTTTCACCAGGACAGTTCAGTCAGAGACTAAAAGTTAAACTCGCAGAGAGCTTCATATCAATCTATGATTTCAATCCATGATAAAAATTCCTTGGCCAATGATTGAATCGATCCATGTTTTTGAATATTATTCATGAGTCATTTTTGCGAGTTTTTTTTAATAAGTTTAATTTTTCGACAAAAAAGAACTTAATTTTGTGGCGAAATTATTATATTGCACTTATTACTAAAAAATATATTTTATTATATAGGTTGTTTTTAATTATAAATATGTAGTTATCGATATATATATTTTTAAATTATCAAGCTATATGTGCAGTTTTTAACTTCTTTTTATTTTTGTAAATGCCGATGTGGTCTGTTTTTATAACAATTTATATTGTTCCAATTTATTGAGGTATGTGGAAACAAGTTATGGTTTGCAATTGTTTTATTGATAACTCTCTCTGTCATGTAGCATTTAAATATCAATATAAAACGTTTCCAAAGTTTTTTTTTGTTTGTAATCGTATAATAAAAGATTATTTTTTAACTAATGAAACTAAAAAAAGAAGAAAACAATCTTGAATTTTTAAATCGCATGATCTTTCATTTCGGTGACTATTGAGGGGAAACGAAAGATGACAGGTACTCAATATTCTTAAGAAAAATGTTGGCAGACAAATTTTCTTTCTCCCAATATATTGGTCTGCGAATTTTGTGGATTACCGCAAAGCCGGTTTTGCTTCTCGTAGCTCGCGGCGAGAACAAGGTGGATGCCAGCGATCGTACAGAGGCTCGTATCTAATATCTCGGCCCATAAAGTTTTTATAAAACAAAGAAGAGAACGAGAGTTACGGTTTCGGGGAGGGTTTTCATGATGTGCTCGGCGGTGGGGATGATATATGATCGCCGCGAGTTAAGCTTTCGGCGGCTCGATCTTCCGTCATGACGTAAACGAACCCCATTTTCGGAGTCCGCCGGTCCGCGAACTAAATTGTCTAAAGTGGCCGGTATACTCCGGTTCGTTCTTGAAGTTTTGCGTGCTCCTCCATCTTTCAGCAGAAATACGTCGAGCGTCAAATTTCGAAAAGCGGAGATGAAATTTTTCGTAGCTGTAAATCGAACATGAAAATGCAATTTCTCGGAGCAAACACTGATTTATCTTTAATCCTCTGAATCACGGTATACATGTATGCACTTTTAGAAGAATGCTCTTTCAAAAATTGATATCTTCTTACATACAAGTGAGACTGATTCATTGTGATATATGCGCGCAATTTTATTCTTAATATATATTTTGTGAAATAAAGTTTGACAATTACTTCGTTGCCTATCAAGATATCAAATATCTCTATATGCTGATAATTTTACGACACTCGTCAGTTTAAAGATATATTAAAATAGTATACATTTTAATAAATTATTTAGTATGCAATAATTTATTCAAAATATATCTCAGAATAATAATCGCGCAATGAATATTAAAATATTGCCGGTTGAGATATAGAACCGCTTTCTATATTTATTTATTAATCTAACAAAATGCATCAATATACGATACAGAAATTTATTTAAACAGCGTTTGATGCTAAGGTGAAAATTGAATACTGCATTGCACGAAAGCTTAATCGCTCAGAACTACAACGACCAGTCGACAACGACTGATGAACTTTTCGTCCCGCTACAGACGATGTTTCTCAAGCGGGTAAACTTCTTCGGTAAACACACAACGGAAACCTACGGAACATGGCATTGTTCGCAGAGGCGACGTTGGAATTCCCGGAGCGAGCAACCACGATGCTGGAACGTACGAAATTTGGGGGTTGCCAGATGTCTTATCGGGCAGGCAGGTCACGTTAATCATGAAAGCGCGAGCTCTCAGATATTTGAATGGATGCAGTTGCTTTGTCCCACCAAACTGACCTCAGAAACAGACGGATCCTGCAAAATTATCGCCGATTGCCTGCCATTGTCTGCGAGTATTATCTATGACACAGTGATCCGCTCTATAATCGATAAGTCATCTAGACGAGAATCTACCCAAGCTACCAAAATAACTGTATTGCGATCTTATTTAATTTTGACATATAAATTTTTTGTCGATAAAAAAAGAATTCTAGAAGACTTTGTAACGTATAATATAAAAAATAATCTTCTTAAACTACATCTAGAACAGAAACTTTGTCGAAAAAGTATAATAAATCCTTCCAAGTCAGCTTTTTTTAAAAATTTACGAGGCTATCTCCTTCTAGTCTCATCACACACATCCGATATTTATTATATGTCACAAAGTGTGTATTTGTATCCAAGATCTCGGATGAAAGAATGTTGCTTTTTTGTCGTATTTTTCAAGAAGTCATAACCACGACAGAGGATCCGATGAAACTTGTTCTTTGGACGTCAAGCTTTTCTACCATTTTCGCGGTTGATGCTATATGTATTTCGGAGTACCCGTCTTGGTCGAGTTGGCTGTAAATAACAGTCTTCACCACGTGACTTGTCATAATTCATGTTTTTTTCGACCGCATTTTCCCCGGTCACCATTTATGCGCAGAAAAAGCAACAGTCGGTCACGATGTGTCACCGGCTGTGCATCAACGCGTAATATTTTATACCCGTTCGTCACGCGAGAAAAAATGCTTGCAAGAATTATTTTAGCCAATCAAGCACAATTCAGCTTGAATGAGACGGAGATTCGAATAATATCGGCGATGAACGAGCGCTGATATTTCGGCAAATAAAAATGAAATCGTGTAAAAAATATAAAAGATATACGTATACGTCGGATATGCTGGACTCTCACCGAAATGATGATGTACCTCACGAAAAACCTCGACATATTTGTCGCCGTCGTCGTCGTTCTCGTCGCCGTCGAGGTCGATGTTGGGAGATACAGCACGTCGCAGCGATGCGAAGGGGAAACGAGAAAATATAACCGATTTAACGAGGAATTCATACCGCACGTACCAAATTTTCGAGCGCGCCCTTGTTCTCGCATGACAGTTGAAGAAAATATTGTTTGATATTAACCTTTTGCGCCTCGAAATGATTTAACATTTAATCTTTTTGTATCGCTTATATTTTGCGACGTGCTTTAATATTGACGTATAAGAAAAAAAAAACCACTGCTAAAAAAGTAAGTTTTATGCATCCGACTGATTTTTAAGATTAACAAATATCAAGACACATATTACATATCACATTTTTTACGATATATAAAATATCATGCATTTCTCACAAAGAATAATTCATAATACGACGAGCAATATTAAAATTGCAAAAAATTTATAAGTACAAAAAATTCCATCACATGATAAAACCGATACTGAAAACCGACAGAATATAAATTTGATGATTCTTTTACATCTCGGAACGAATATAGCAAAATTGATTTACTTTCTATACTCGAGTAGTATATTGCAAAATTTTTGGCAAAATTTGATCGTGTTTTGTGACGCAAATTTTTTCTCTATAAACTCACCGCGCTCCATTTATTTTTGCATACAGCATACATATAGATATACATATGCATTGCTATATATATGACAATGCGACGCTTGAAATGCATAGCAATAGTATTTCAACAAAGTCTTTGGGAATGCGAGCGTCGAGAATCGAGGAAAGCTGGCTGATGGCATCTGTGCGGGGAATGGATGAAAGGGCAGGAAATCGTAAAGGAAAGCGAGAGAGAGAGAGAGAGACAGAGACAGAGACTGAGAGAAGAGAGAAAGGAATGGTAGGAGATGACGTTCGTGTCGGATCCAAACGCACTTC